ATTCGTGAGTCGGCTGTCTATTTCTGAAAGCAGGAATATGAATACAAAAAGCCCCCACTCTGTTAAATCTTATTTTAATGGCATAATTAGTAATGGTGACAATTATTCAGGTTGCTTTGTGTTCTTTTGATTTCTAATTAACAAACAGTAATGAAATGGCCATTAAAAAGGAGAAGATGGTCTTAATGAATGTAAATTGTAAAAATAGATTGCACTAATATTAAGCAGAGCTCTTCTCTTTTTATAAAGAAGACAAATGGCCCGGGAGAGTTTACATTTCTTGTATGAAGAGACGATTTCATCCCCCCATCTCAGTAAAGTTCTCTTTTGGACAGATGCCAAACAATGAGGAACTATGTGAGGCAAAAGTGAAATGACCAGGGATTCGACCGAGAAGCAAGAACCTTCTGGGGGATACTCATCAAAACAAAACAAAACAAAACAAAACGAAACAAAAAACCAAAACCCAGGCAACTGAAAATGAGTACTGTGAACACAGGCAGACAAGTCAGATGAACTGCTTCCTCTGTGACCTCACCATTCAGGGGGAGTATTTTGTAATAAGAAATGTTGAATGAATTTTTCAAGTGGAAAAATGTAGTTGATCTCTGTACGTTTTCCTCACCTCAGAACTGAACCTCCATTTTAATTATTATGGATTTTCATTTGCAAGTGCCACTTGTCACCATGCTAGGGGAAAGAAAGCACGTGTCCAAGAGAAGAGGGAAAAGTGAAATAAGTATGAAACATTTGTCACATTCTGGGAGATTCTTAATGCATGTGACCAAGACACAGAAAGCAGTCAAAGCGCAGCATGGCTGGTGATGAAATAGAGTTTCCTTGGCCAGAGGCTTCTGTCCCCAGAGACCCGAATCACCCATGGGACTTGGCAGTTGCTATGGAAACACATTTGCTTGCACAAAAGCATCAAACTCTAACCAGATTGAAGACTTCTGTGTTGCGCCATGCAAGTTAGCTCCTACCCTCAGGCTCATAGGCTGCATGATGCCCTCTGGCCTTTAAAAACATTGATATGACAGAGTCTTGCCCTTTCAAATGAGAAGACCCTTTCCCACCAAATACTTTTACTGTAACTGTGTGCCTTTGTTGGATAGTTGACAAATCTTGTGTTTGTAAGGGGCTTTGCTATTTTTAAACTGCTTTGCTTTTATTAACTTCTGGCAATTTGGTTTTTCTCTTTAACTACAGAGAATTAGGGTGGCAAGGGATTAAAACATTTGCCCTAGGGAATGTGGGAGAGCCAGACCTAGAAGTAGAGGGTGTTGCCAGAAACCATATGACCCCACGTCGGTCTCTTTCTGTATTGGGGCATGGATAGAGCACTAACATAAAAGGTCGGCAACGTAAATGAAGCATACAGTAAGTAGAGCATAATACAATTAGAGGTTTTTCAGAGATTCCCTTACTGGGGTGTTCCAAGGTGAAAATATATGTTAAAACACAACATTGAACTTGGTTTTAAAGAAAAAGAGATAAAGAAGACAATAGGGAATTCTGAAACATGATAGCTATCCATGAAGAACTTTTTGTTTTAATATATATTTTCTTAAATTTATTTCTAGGAAAGAGAGAGAGAGGCAGCGTGAGCAGGGGAGGGTCAGAGAGAGAAGGAGACACAGAATTTGAAACCGGCTCCAGGCTCTGAGCTAGTTGTCAGCACAGAGCCTGACGCGGGGCTCGAACTCGCGCACTGTGAGATCATGACCTGAGCTGAAGTCGGACACCCAACCGACTGAGCCACCCAGGTGCCCCTAAAAACTTTTTTTAATGTTTATTCTTTGACAGAGAGAAAGTCAGAGCATAAGTGGGTGGAGGGGGGGCAGAGAGAGAGACAGAGTGTGATCGGGGGAGGGGCAGAGAGAGGAAGACACAGAATCTGAAGCAGGCTACAGGCTCTGAGCTGTCAGCACAGAGCCTGACACGGGGCTCTGTCTCAGGAACTGCGATGTCATGACCTGAGCTGAAGTCAAGTTGGGTCGCTTAACCTGTTGAGCCCCCAGGCACCCCAAGGCTTAAAATATTTTAAAGAAAACTTTACATGAATTTTATATTATACTTACAAGTGAAAGAAAAAAAAAGATACATGCAATCAAAAGGAATAATGTGTGTTGCATGCCAAATAATCCATTAAGGAATTCATCCAACATGTCTTAAATCATAGTTTTTATAAATTTTCTGCCTTATCTTAGCACAGAGTATGCTTTGCTCATCACTGCATCCCTAACACCAAGCATGGTGCCTGGCACAGCAGCACTTATCTGAATGAATGAACATAGAGCACCAGCTCAGTTCTGCTTCTGGTGTTCCTTCCATTAAATAAGGCTGTGAATGAGACAGATAATTAATTTCTCTTGATCTTCATTTTGTCCTCCGTGAAAGAGAGAGGTTTTAGTAAGACTGATTTCTTCAGGATGCCTGTGGCTTTAAAATTCCAATTCTAAAATCTCAAATGGAAAATTTGTGTTTATGTTGCATATGGTGTTTGGTTTTGCTTTCAAAACTTCTGTGCATAATCTCAACAAATTATTATCTTCCAGCACAGCGGAGAGTCCATGAGAACTTATTACATGATGGGAAATGAGAAAATAGCAGCCTCTGACGTCCACTGAAGGTAATTCACCATGGGGAATAGATGTCACCGTGAGCAACACAAGTCATCTTAAGTAGCTTTGGCACGAGTTTCTCCTTACGCTTCTAGAAGTTTGTTAGAAAAGCTCATAGAACTTGCTCTTCCCTTTTTCCAAATAAAGATAATGTAATGGATCTTCTATGGAATATTAGAACAGTCTTTTGGCAGCAAACTTGAGAGAAACAGAGTTCACACATTCTGCTCCTTTACAGAAAGAATATAACACACAGAGAATTTCCTTGTAGAATTCTCTACACAGCCATGTTTAAAATAACATAGTTGTTATTTTAAAAGTAAAGGTTTCCAAATTCATCGCTCTTGGGGAACTTCTTTTTGGCATTTTGCTAGTAAGCAGGATATATGATGCCATTAAGTTAGCCTGTATCAAAAATCATTTCAGAGGCGCCTGGGTGGCTTAGTCGGTTAAGAGTCCGACTTTTGATTTCAGCTCAGGTAATGAACTCATGGTTCATGAGTTCGAGCCCCACATCTGCATCAGGCCTGCGTGGGATTCTGTTCTGTCTCTCTCTGCACCCACCCCCCACCTCCCTGCTTGCTCTCTGTATCTTTCTCAAAAATAAGTAAAAATTTAAAAAAATCATTTCGGGAAAAGACCAATAACTATTCTGGAATACAACTTTTTTTTTTTTTTTTTTTTTTCAGAGTAAGGAGTAGGATAATGTTTCCCTAGGTAATACTTCACAGAAGAATGTTAAATTTTCTGGAGCATTGGGCATCATTAAAAAATAGGTAGGTAGATAAGTAGATATCAGATTAGATTAGATGAATAGTATTTCATGTTTCAGAAATGCTGGGTTAAGGAAACCTAGTTTTCTTCATTGTGGGTCTTCTTGGGAACTTTTGATTTGTAATTATGCCATGTGGATCTCCAAGTGATAGGGGTAGAGATTGGTATACAAGTTTTTCCAGGCACATTTGCTTACAAAACCCCCTTTCTTTGCCAGAGTATTCTGTGGAACCTCCTGGAAGACAATTTGAGGAATAATCTATACATGATGACTGTTTAGAATATTTTTCTTGTCCGAATTTTTAGTTTAGATAAAGCCAAAGCAATGTCTTGAAAAAAATTTCAAACTAGATATGATATCAAGAGAAAATAGCATTATACTTGGCTACTTAGAATAATGTATTTTGGATAAAGCTGTATTTTATAATTGGTTTCATTATTCGCCATAAGATTTTTTTTTTATGTCCAACACTGTTATGTTATGGTTTTGTGAAACTTAATTTGCCCTGGAATCTGAATAATCAAAATGATAAATTATGAGTTGTATAGAGCCTAGAATTGCCTAAATTGACAAAAAAGAATTTTTTTGAGAAATATATTTTTAATTATATAACTGATGACACACCACATTATAAATACTGTTACAATTTATTTTTCCAAACTTTCCCAAGCATATAGTACACATTGAGGAATATATAAAGAGTGATTATTTTATAATATGAAAACTAGTGAATTTGTAAAAATTGACACACTTGGCCGAATTGGAGGAGCATAATATTATGTTTTTGAAACAATGATGTTTCTAGAATTCTTAAATGATATATCAACCCATGGTAACTGCAACTTCCCATGTTTAATGATGTTTACAATTAAAATAATACAATAGCAATATAAGATTAACGGTCATAATTAACCCAGAATGGATTTTTTGAAGTGGTTCAAAGGGCTTTTCATAATAAATTACTAGCCTCTAAGCAGCTAATTTAAAGTTAGTACTTTTCAGAATGTGAGAAGTATGTGTTTCTCTCGTACAAAATTTAACTTAGGTTTATGAAATGAGTTTAAAAGATCCAGATTCACCCTGTACCAAATGAGAGCTATGTCTGATGTTCCAGTGAAAGCTTTATTTAGACGGAGTTGAGAAATCTTGGAGATAACAGGCTTTTGACTGTGCTATCTGGAGTGTTATAGCTGAGTCGTTTTCCCAGAAAAAGATCTTTAAGTCTCTTTCAAGCGATTGCATGAATGACTTAAATTAGTGAAATATAAATAAATGGTCTCTTTTGGATTCCTTTCCAAGTTGAAAGAATGTTGACTTTAAAAGGTTACGACGTCGAATTTTGCCTGTTGAAGTGGTATTTCCACTTGGGAGGCTGGCCCTGGCCGCTCTCTGCTGTCCTGTTCTATCCACTCACACGCGTTTGTGATAAGCAGGGTGAAGTGTAAGCTAAATTGGGACGAGGGCTAGGCAAGGACATTTCTTCCAGAACACCAGAGACTCCAAGATCTCAAGGGTGCTCCAGTACAGAAAAAGGTGCTGTTCTAGTGAATTAAAACAAAACAAAACAAAACAAAAAAACCCTGTAGACATAAAAAGTAAAAATGAGGGTGCCTGTATTTGAGGATGTAGGAGATGAAGCTGAAGAGGAAAAAACAGGGGAAGAAGAAAATGAAGAAGACATGGTGAGTGGGAAGGCATCTGCTGAGAAGGGTATTTGTTCCTCTACATTGGTCATTAGACAAAATGTTTCCTTTCCTTGTGTTTCTGGACAGGTATTCTTTAAGCCTGTTATTGAAGACCTAAGCATGGAATTGGCCAGAAAATGCACCAAACTCATTAGTGATGTAAGTGGCTTAAGTACTTTTTGTCTCACTTTGCATTGTGTGTGTGGCACCGTTATGTCATAGAATCGTCGAATTGGGGAGAAAGCATGGAAATCCTCTGTTAAAACACAGTTGTTTTCTAGATCATGGAACTAAGTCCAGAAACTTTCACTGATTTCTTCAAGGTCACCTATTCAGAGAATTTCAGAATAGGTCTCCGTGTCCCTAATCCAGAATACTGTCCCTTATGAATTTCATTGTCACTCTGGCATGAAATCATGAAGCATTGAACTTCAGAGCACATCCCATGTGCGAACTCCAAAGCCTTTCTTAACTTGTATGGTGGTGCAATTTGTTTTGGGAGGTCTCTGTCTAAATGAATGCAGTTTTAGAAACTATTTTGGGGATTTTTTTTTTTGAGGACTTTGATAAATGCAATAGTTTTCTAAACTATTTCCCAATCAGGAATATATATATACTTGTATATACATAACATGCATTTACAATTTTGGATTCACGGATTACCGAGCAGCATGTTAAGAACCCGGAACATGGCTGGTATTAGTAAAAAGAAGCATTAGATGGTATTAGATGATGGTATTAGTAAAAAGAAGCATTTTTCTTGTGACTTTCTTCATTAACTGGGGTCAGTTTCTGTTATATTTCCAGGGAATCTTAAGATTGTAGAATTATATATATGTATGATAAATTATATATATATAATATATATACACACACTAGTAATTATGTATTGGTAAGCCATTTATTATATATATATATATATAATTGGTAAACCGGTTATTATATGTATATAAATTATATGTGTATATGTTATTTAACATACATATATGTATATAAATTATACCAATTATGCCAATATATGTGTGTATAAAATTATACATATAATATACATATAATATATATACACACACCGGTAATTATGTATTGGTAAAACAGTAAATATGGAAGCTAGAATGCTAGAAGCACAAGGAACAAGTATAGCTCACCAGGGAAGAGCATTTAGACCCTCATTAAAACAATTGTTATCGAATTGCTCATGCAGAGGAGAGGTGGCTCGTGAAAAGTGGATAGACGCCTGGGTCTGGAGAGAAGCGAGCAGGATACTGGCCGTTTCTGTTGTAGTGAATGAACAAAGCGATCAGAGTATTTTGCAAATGCTTGTTTTCAAAGGCGGTCAGTCCAGGAAAGTGGGGCAGTGTGTTGGCATGTTCTCTGAAGTCAACCCGCCTGCATCAATTTAACAGTAACGTTGGGGCAGGTTATGTAACCTGACTGGGCTCAGTTCCTCAAGGGCAACATCCATCACAGTGTGATTAAGTAATGGTCACACATCTGAAATGTTTAGTGAACTGTCTGGAACACTGTGACCACTCAAGAGATGTTAGCTGTTATTAACTACTGAGTCTGTAAATTATGTCTGTATCCATTCTGTCCTGTTTTACATACAACTCTCTGTCTCCTTGTTGTTGTCAGAAAGAGCCAGAGGATGGTGGGAATCATGCCGCTTCCATATATTTGCTGTGTAATGTAATTGAATTTTAAATGGACTATTTCTTTGTGCTGTTACTCAATACTCCTAAGCCACTGCGTGTGAAAGTTCTTTGTAAACTAGAATAATGATAAAACGACGACAACAGCGAACGCATCAGCCTAGTTAAGATTTACTGAGTACGAGTGACAGGCATTGCAGCATCTGATGTAAGTTCCATCACTTTTCTCATTTTTGAGGTGACGAAACAACGGCTCAGAGAGGTTCATATCTTGCTGGGTCACACAGTTAAGCAGCGGGGACAAGAATTAAACACAAAGTGCTTTCAGGTTTAGCCACTCTGCTGTGCTTCCTCTCCTGTGCATTTCCGTGCAAAGTCTACCTTAGTTTTAGTCTTATTTATTACACTAGCATTGGTAATAGTAACGCTACCATTGAAAGCCTTAAGTTCCGTAACTCTGGAAACAGTACCTCTTCCAGCATTGTTATGTTTTTTATTAAAACGGAATTGTGGATGAGCTAAATTATATAAACCATTGACATTGAAGTGGCAACTTCAGTTAGTGGGTGATTTTACTAGAGTTGTTTTGGACAAGATCATCTTTCAGTGACTTTATTTATTTATTTATTTTTGTTAAAAAAAAGGTTTTTTTTAATGTTTATTTATCTTTGAAGGAGAGAGAGACAGCATGAGCATTGGGAGGAGGAGAGAGAGAGGGGGAGACACAGAATCAGAAGCAGGCACCAGGCCCTGAGCCATCAGCACAGAGCCCGACGCGGGGCTTGAACTCACAAACTGTGAGATCATGACCTGAGCCGAAGTCCGATGCTTAACCGATTGAGCCACCCAGGCGCCCCTATTTATTGTTTTAAAGTTCATTTATTTGAGAGAGACAGAGACAGTGCGAATGGAGAAAGGGCAGAGAGTGAGGGAGATGGAGAGAGAGAGAGAGAGAGAGAGAGAACCCCAAGCAGACTCCTTGCTGTCAGTGCAGAGCCCCACACGAGGCTTGAACTCAACGAAACCACAAATCATGACCTGAGTCGAAACCAAGAATTCGGATGACTGACTGAGCCACCCAGGCGTCCCATTTTTCAGTGACTTTAAACCAACCTCATGCTGAGGGACATGGCTTTTACCATTTTGCAAAAGCCAAAGCCATGTTATTTCACTTCTGTATAGAAGAGACCAAACAAGTGGCAGTAAGTTTTATTTATTATAGCTTTGTGGTGCATAGCAGAATGTCTGTATTACTTAAATATTTAGATCATAGACTGTGCCCTAATTTATATCTGTGTACATGTTCACATTTTGTTTCAAAATAGAATTCCGTATATTTTAAGATACTGGCTTCATTTTTGGAATTTGTATTTTTACCAAGGAATCATCTGAACAATTACTTCCTTTTGTATGTTTATTTTTATTTTTGTGTGTGTGTGTGAGAGAGAGAGAGAGAGCGAGCAAGTGGGGGGAGGGGCAGAGAGAGAGGGAGACACAGAATCCAAAGCAGGCTCCAGGCCCTGAGCTGTCTGTCAGCAGAGAGCCCGATATAGGGCTTGAACTGGTGAACTGTGAGATGTGACCTGAACCGAAGTTGGATGCTTAACCGACTGAGCCACCCTGGTGCTCCACCAGATGGTTTATTAAAATGTTATATAGGAATGGACTAGAGAAAAGTCTAGGGAGGTCTGTACTGTTTACAGTTCTCCATAGAAAGAAATGTGTATTTTTCATGTTAGGTGGCTTCACTTGGGGATCAGTGTGAAGCATTTTTTCAATTTGTTTTTGTTCCACCTAGTTTTTGCCTTTCACGTGCCCTGCCCGTAATGTGTGGCTTCCCTCTGTGGAATTTACTTCCCAATTCTTAAAGACACCTGGTCCTCCGAGGCCCCCCTCTTTTATTTTTCTGTTTATTTCTCTAGATATTCTCTCTCTCATTCTTTCTCTGGGCCTGTTAGTCAACTGTCTAATGAATTCCTTGAATAAGTCAAACCCATTAACTCTATTGAGCCATCAGAATCATTGATCTAATGGCCTTTTGTCAGGTGGTCATAAAAACTATTAGGTTTTAGGGGATGTTCTTAGAGGTTTCTTGTAAATTAGGCACCAAGAGTTTCTTTGGAGCTAGTTCAGCCACATCTGCACGAAGCCTGTGACTCAGTGTTTTGGTTCAAACCTTCCGAGGGTGTTCACTTGCATGGCAGCAGAAAGGAGATTTTCCAGGCAACTGAACATTGTTTGTTGTGGGTAATCCCTTCCAGTGTGCTAAAAACAGATTCCGTGGCTACCCCTCCAGAGAGCGCCCCGACTGTGTGAAGAGAGCCTGGGGCGGCTGCCTTGCTTATGAGCTCCCTCCAGCCCATTACCACCTAGTGATGGGGCCACGGTTCTTTCTTGCAGGGTTTGCTGCATTTAGCCAACATGGCTCCGTTGGAGAAAAGACTTTCTCTGTACTTTTGGTTGAGTGCCTGAAAAAGGAAATATCCTTAGATATTTCTACATTTGTCATCCATGTTCAGCCATTAGCTAATCTCATACCAAGTGAAAGAGACTGGGTAAGAAGAGGAAGCACTGCTGAACTCATTTAACTAGAATTGTGGTTGAGACATGGTAGGATTAATGGGCGTGGCCAGAGCACAGGTTAAGTAAGTATTTGGGGCATCTCACTGACTATTAAGTCATCGACTTTGCCCACCTTTTCTCCCCGCAACTAGAAAGTACCTTGGATGGGGGTCCCTGGGTGCTTCAGTCGGTCGAGCATCCTACTCTTGACTGTGGCTCAGGTCATGATCCCAGGGTTGTTGGGTCGAGCCCTGCACCCAGCTCCGTGCTGAGCGTGGAACCTGCTTGGGATTCTCTCTCTCTCCCTCTGCCTTTGCCCCCTGCTCACTCAATCTCTCTAAAATCAATTTAAAAACACTCCAGAAGGTAACTTAATAGTATCTTGGTTATGAGTGCACATGGCCACAGTAATAGGCAAACTGTAGCACAGAGGCTTAACAAATAGGTGGGGTTTTTTATTTTCACATGATGAAACCTGGAGGTAAGGGGTCCAGTCTTGGAACAGTGGATGTTGTCAGGCTATCAGGTTCTTCTCTCTGCTTTGTCGTCATTAGTTTGGTGACCTTGTGAGGACATCACTACTGCCGCATCCCTGTGACTGGGGAAGGAAAATAGACAGGCAAAATGTCAACGGGCTATACGAGCGAATTTCTCCCCTTAATTACAGAGACACCAGGGACACCACTGAGAAGACTTCTACAAATGTCCCCTGGCCAGAGCTGGGCACCGGGGGAGGCTGCTCACTGGCCAAGGGGAAGCAGCAAACCATGGCTGGTTTAGAGCAATTCATCTTCTGAGGCTCAGACAGGGGTCTGGCTACGCTCATAAATACATTTGCATTCTGTTATTGGGAAAGAAAGGGGACGCGTAGGCAATCTATCCAACAAATGGGGCCATGGCCATATTAGGAAGTGGCTGTCGACTCAGTGACTTTATTTCACCTAAGATTTTGTGTCCCTTGTGAGTGCAGTTCCCCTTCATCTAGTTTTTCTATGACCCTGTATAGAAGGGCTAACAATACATAGCATTCTTTATATAAAACTTTAAGGTCATTTGCTTCCTGCCACTCATGTTGTAAAATTCACTAGAAGTACAATATGAATGTCAATAAGCAAATAATACGTGTGTGTGTGTGTGTGTGTGTGTGTGTGTGTGTGTGTGTGTGTGTATCTTTTCAATAAAGATCAAGGAAAGGAATGGGGATCCCACGTAAGACTGAAGCATTTGCCTGCACAGCGAAGGAAGTAAGTACTTCACCCTTATCCGGCGTACTTGCCCTGAACATTCTGCTGAGGTCAGAGCTTATCAGGAGGCCCGTAGCCATATCGCATACCACCGCGGTGAAGCATGTGACAGGGAAAAGATGGTGGCAAAAGATAAAAATAATGAGCCAAACTTAAGCCTAATGATAGGTTCCTTTCTCTCACACTTAATTATATAACGGGGCTACTTTTTTTTTTTTCTCCTTATGATCAAAATAGCCTACTATTTATCATACTGCCATTAAAGGTTTAATTACTAGTGGCTGAGGAGGGTGATTTGCGGAGACCTAAAATTATGGCTAATCTCTGAGAAGAAAAAAAAGTAATTTAGTGCTCAGATAAGATAAATATGTTCCAATGTTGATTTCATGAATAAAGCAAATGTTTAATGGGGTAGGCGTCTGATACCTGAGTCACAGCAGTGAGATATGGTATTTTGAAATAACATTACTTAGTATGTTCATATCTGGTCGTACCCCAGGTCAAGTTACATCCCTCCAATCAGGTCTTCATGTGGTAAAATCGCTATGTGATGGCGAGTGTGCAAGGTCAGTGTTAGTCATGTCCTTTAGGAGCCAGGTATGTAGTCAACTGAACTTCACTTTTAGCTTATAATTAGGGAGACCATGTCATTTACCATCTGAACTGGGACATTTTTTGCATCATAAGTATTTATAGTGTTGGGAGACAAACGTGGCTTTATTACAGGCTGATAGAACTTTTAGCAAATTACCTTCATCCTCTCAACTAGTCCTAAATTTTGCCTTGCCCGTTTTCAGATGGGGTGGCAATTAGTGTCACAGTGTGGACGGGGCCTGGTCCACAGACCCTGACTTCTCAGCTCGTGTGTTCATGCAGGGCCTTCCCCGGAGTAACAATTCTGGCCCCTCCACATGGGGAAAGGACTGATTCATTTTACTACAGTTTGAGAGAAGAAATGCGAATGCTCAGCTAAACCTCTCTGAACTTTGTCTCCAGCGTCTGCCTACCCATAGCCTTCTGGAATGGTCTCCTCCACCATGCGGCAAGCTTTCAGGGCACGTTTTGTTCCTGTTGGGGTGTGGACACAGAGGGGGGAGGCCTATGGGTGCTCATAAATTAGGGAAGTTTGATTTGAGCGGAATTAATTAGTAAAGGAAGCTCATTGTGACTACCCTTTGCGCCCCTTCCTTTAATCCAGCTTGGAATGGTGCTAACAGGAAGGTCCACTTGTTTGATTTCTGCCTCTACTTCTTAATTGGTGACATCTGTCTTGATGACTACTTGCTCTAAACCTAGAGGTAGGCAGCTATGTTTCTGTTTGATTGTAGGCTTAGCGGTTTAGTCAGGGGCTTGAAGTAACGATAAACTAGGACACGTGTCGAACGAAATCAGAGTGTGTAGTAATTAGGCTGAGCGAGCCGGGCAGACAGGACCCGTCGTCAATGGGAGTCCACCGCACGTGATCCTTGGTGATAATGGGACCCTCACTTATCTAAAGAACGGTCTTCTTTCCTCTGTCTCATCACCCTTGCAGGTCTGTGTTCGATATCCATTGATGTGATTTGGCTGGTTTTGAGCATTATTCCTGATTTGAGTATTTACTTCAGAAGACAGGCTTTCTCTAATTAATTGATTAGATTTAATTCTAATTCTTCTATTCAAAAAAGGACCAATAAAATGGTTTTTCCTCTTTCTTGTCTTATGTCAATTATTCTCTCTTTTAGATTCATTATAAAGAAGAGTATAAAAAGTCTAAAGGCAAGTGTACGTTTGTGCCTGACACGCCCATGCTAAACCATGTAAAATATATTGGTGCTTTTATTTCTGAGGTAAGGCACTCAAACTTTCTTTCTTTCTTTCTTTCTTTTTTTTTTTATAGTTTATTTTTGTGACAGAGACAGAGCATGAGTGGGGGATGGGCAGAGAGAGAGGGATACATAGAATCTGAAACAGGCTCCAGGCTCTGAGCTGCCAGCACAGAACTCGATGTGAGGCTCAAATCCACGAGCTGTGAGATCATAACTTGAGCCGAAGTTGGATGCTTAACCGACTGAGCCACCCAGGCGCCCCACTTTCACAGTGCACCTGCACTTTCACAGTGGCTTGCGTTTTCATTTTCTGTTCATGTAGATAAAAGTCTGTGCGTTAAAATTAGAGAATAATATTTTTGAGAGCACCACTGGATGTTGGTAATATCTGTATAATTATGTAATTCTACATACAATGTCAATTAACTCTAAGGTTGACATATTTTATTATATATGTCTATATTTTGACTCCAGCCCTTTCCTCTCTATGTAGGATTACTCTTGAAAAGAGAGGTTATATTCAATAAGTAGAAAGTACTGGAAAAATTGTTTTAGAAGTTCCATTATTTTATTTCCCGAGAGGTGGTATTAGATATAAATTGTTGAATATCATTTTGAAATTAAGTAAAATTTACCAGCTGATTCTATACAACGTAGTATCTTTGGTAAGTAATTTTAAATCAATTTAAACTCTTTTTGAGCAGGGTCAGTTCGACAGAGACACTTAGGAAGTCACAGAGTGAGAAATGCACTCGATTCATTTTCCAGCTGAAAAATCATAGAGCCTCTTTCTGAGAGCATTTCAGGCCACACGTATGCTGCATTACAAAGCACAACATTAACAGCAATATCTGTGAGGAGGCATTTCTGTAGTCTGCGACTGGATCACTTAGAAAAGACAAATGTGAAAAGAAGATGAGTCAAATAGTACTGTAAATGACTGACCTCTAGTGTTCCGTCAGTTATATTGGAAAAAAATCAACGCGACAGTCTCAGGGTTATTTCCCTGGATGTGAAAACATTTTGAGGAGAACTGCAAATTTTCCTTAAGTGGAGACCCACCTGCAAAGAGTTGTGAGAGCACGAGGTTTACACCGCGTCTGCACTTGATAAACCCACACGCAAATCGAGCTCTGAGTGCGAGTAATATCAGGGTGTGGGTCACCGTGGGGTTGGTTTGTGTGCATTCTCTGGGATTTCTCCCGTGCAGACTCTCTTGATGTCTTTCATTCCTAATGGATTCTTTATCCTGAAGGAGTTAACTGCGGAACAAGGGGGAAAAAAAGGAAGCGGACAATGTGTTGTGTTACTTTGAACTTAATCTTCCTAAGGGAAGCGGTGAAGGAGCCTTTCTCTTTATGAGTTAGCAGTGTTGACAGTGCAGATCGGAGGTGGGAAGGCACAGAAACGGCACCCTCACCCACCCACCCCTCATTGCAGCCGTGGTAGGAGGTTAAAAAGATTTGAATAAGGGAGCTCTGTGCATTCAGGTTCTAGACAGCACATTCTGACAACTTGTATTTTCTGGAACAGCTCAATTGTCTCATTTTTCTCATGTTTTTCTTCGCCGATCAAACCTACGAAACCCTCAGTACATACAAACAGATTCACTTTTAAAAACATGCAGGGGTTTAAATAGAAAAATACTCATTCTTTCCTTGAGCGGCTCATTTAAAGCTTTTTCCCCGATAAATTGGATTTCTCTCTCTTCAGAATATGTTTTTCAGCCTAGTATCTAAGGTTAAAACGGGCTTTAGGATTTTAAATTAATTCTGTTTCTGAAGAAAGTTTCTTTTTATTCTCTTTCAGTATTCATAGTAAAAAAAAGAAAAGTAACACCTATTTTCCCCCCCTTTTTTCCTCTCTCTAGGCAAAATACAAAGGTGCCATTAAGGCGAATCTTTCCAATTCTCTATATAAGCAGATGCCAGCCACAATCGATAGTGTATTTGCAAGAGAAGTTACCCAGCTTCAGAGTGAGGTGTGGTTTTCTGAAATTGTTATAATTATATATATATAATATAAATATAAAAAATATATATGCATTTAACCTAATATAATTAATATCTTAAAATAGATTAATATTTAAAATGTATATTTAAATATATTTAGCAAAATAGTTGTTTATCTTGAGTATCACATATCGCATGAAAATTAGAAGCTGCTAACTGATGTGTTGTCCCTGGTGGAGTCACAGAAGGTGAAAGCAACATGCAAATTTGTTATCACATGATGTTGTTTTTCTCTAATCCCATCCACAACTATTATTTGGACAAAGTTTCATCTTATTAAGACAGCTTACTTAGATTGAAATCTTACAGTGGGTATTAAAGGGTTAATGGTTACATTCAGGATCCGCAGGGCTGTGCTTCCTCCTTTAGGCCAGCAGTTCCTGAATTTCCTTTTCCTGGGATTCGGGTTTCCATGTAGATAGAGCACCTAAGGTGGACGTGGCCATTTTAGTGATTGCAAGCTGCAGGTGACATTAAGGACTGTCATCCTATAAACTCATTTTGAATCTGGAGGAGTCATTTCCCCCCTTTTTTTTGTACATCAAGACATAAGGAAATATGTAATGCATTTCATTTGTTGTATTTCTTAAAACAGAATTTCAAAATAAGAGTATTTCACCTTTCTCATCTTGCCATTTCATTTTCTTCGTAGCACAGTTTTTAAAAAATTTTTTTTAACTTCATTGGCCTGTTACATGGTTCCCTAAGTGACATGAGATCAGGGACCTCACGTGTCTTGTCCTCTGCTCTACCCCTGAGATCCGAACAGTCCTTGGCAGACCCGGATATTCTGTAAACACTTGTAAAATGGATTTTGTTGAATTTGTTGATTCCTTTTATAAGGAAATGTTTCCTTTTGCATATTCTTCATGCTACATTTTAGGTTAAAAATAATAGTGAACACATAGATGTGCTTACTATCTGTCAGGTGCTCTTTTGTGCATTTTACATATATTTATATCACGTAACCCCTATAACTACTCTGTGAGATGGCCCCATTTCGGAGATGTGGAAACCGAAGCACAGAGCCCAAGAGCACACAGCTGATAAGTGGCAAAGTCAGCACCTGAACATGGACATGGCCAGTCCAGCTCCAGGGACTGGGTTCTTAACCATGCACCGTATCACCTCTTTCTGCCACTGTTTTTCATACTAAACAAGTTTACTTCTTTGGAATCTTTTTAGTTTTAAGTAGAGGGTAATTTAAAAATAGTCTGAAAGTAAAGTGCTCTTGAAAACTTCAGAACATCATTATCTTTTGCAGAGCATTTTTAAGTACTTGATTATTACAAATTTAAATGTTTGCTGTGGCCTCAGCTTGGCAGTAAGCTAACCTCAGCTGTGCAACAAGAAGCTAAAAATATATGATATCAGGGTTTTGCATGGCTGACCATGACTAATGTGCCCCCCTTTTTTCCTTGCCAACATCTGGTTACCTACCCACTTGCTGATAATACGGACTACTCTATAAAGCAAATAAGTACAACACAACACTTGATATGTGGCAAAGAACAATTATACAAGAGAGAAAGGATATTCTAGTCTTTAAAATTTTTTTTTAACGTTTTTTTATTTTTGAGAGAGAAAGAGAGACAGAGTGAGAGTTGGGGAGGGTCAGAGAGAGAGGGAGACACAGAATCCGAAGCAGGCTCCAGGCTTTGAGCAGTCAGCACAGAGCCCAATGCGGGGCTTGAACCCATGTGCCACGAGTTCATGACCTGAGCTGAAGTCAGATGCTTAACTGACCGAGCCACCTGGCTCCCCAAGAATATTCTATTCTTATTTTTATACTTGGGAAGGTAACATTGTCAGATATTTTGCTATAAAAATGTATGACTTTTCTCACCTTGTTACGGCAGAAGTAGAGCTATAGTACACAAACGCGTGCAACATAGAACTTAATGTGAAAGGTAATCCATACTGTATATTGTAGAATCTTTTTTCCCCCTCCAGAATAAGTTGTCACTTACATTGTTAACATGTGTTCTATGCATAGCACGTTATAGTAGAGTGTACACCCTGGGAAGGATATGTGTGTGCTCCCAGCACTGCCCACTATTGTAATTAATCACGGGACTTGTTAGGAAGGAAAAACCTGGATTCTGAATAAAGCATCTATTTCAATGGAATGATGTAATGTAATAACCTTTCAATGTAATAACATTTCTTGAGATGTGTGTAAATCACGTTTATGTTGTTACAGTTGCAGTTCTCAGAGCTTACCAGGTAGTAAGACTGGCAAGGAAGTAAAACTATTTGGCAGTGTCTGAAAAAATTAAACAACTAACCTTTTACTGTGTCCAGATAGTATCAGATTTGTGGTAGGCTAAATTATAGTTTTAGACAGATTCTGGAAGTTCATGGTGTTCTGGGTTCTAATGAAAAGTCTCCTTAAACTTAGGACACTGGATCAAAATATTATGTTAACATCAATTTGCAGACATTGTCAGATGCTTTCATTCAAATTGGAATGAGAAGGTGAAGTTAGCTAGATTAATGCTCCTTATAGAAAATGACTAAGAGGAAGACACACCTTTTAAAAAGAGAGAGAGATGTAGAGGTTTTTGGAGGCCATTTTATCAGTTATCCCCCCCTTAAAAATTTTATAAACAAAGACCACAGAGAAGATTTCTGGAAATGCATGGACCATGCCATGAAATGGTGAGATCCTTCTCCCCAGGGCTTCTTCAGGCAGAGGCTCAATAATCTCTTATCACAAAAGTAATACAGGCTACTTAGGAGTCTGAACTCAGGAGATGTTTGACAGCCTACATTTTTATCTGTAGTGGCTATGGGGTCCTGCTTCAGTACTTTCAGGGCTGTCTGTGCTGTGGGATTAAAAGTGCCATTTACCTAGACAGTAGTGGTAAAACATACTGAAGTGAGAAATGTATACAGGTCTCATGTATATATATGGTGTAAGTATATATGATGTTATCAGATACATAGGATAAATGTATACACTACCTTTATAAACTTATTTATATATAAGTATATAAGACTATCGCCAGGTGGGGCACCTGGGTGGCTCAGTCAGCTAAGCGTCCAACTCTGGATTTCAGCTCAGGTCATGATCTCATGATTTATGGGATCAAGCCTGGAGTTGGGCTCTGTGTTAACAGTGTGGAGTCTGGAATTCTCCCTCCCCCTCCCTGCCCCGGCGCCCTCTCTCTCTCTCTCTCTCTCTCTCTCTCTCTCAATAAATAAATAAATAAACATTGAAAAAGAAAAGACTATTGCAAGCTGTTCTCTGCTATTTGGGTGTCCACTACCAAAGTGACTTTAATTCTCAAGGTATGAAGAAAACAGTGCTAATTTAGGCAAATGTCGCACAATAATGACAAATCCTAAGAAACCGAATTTAGCAGAAAATTTATTAGCTTGACATAATTTTCCATTAGCTATTTTAAGTATGAAAATTAATATGATAAATTAAAGTTCAGCTGCCTCCAATTTGATGTAATCTTAATTCTAAAGTGGTGCTTAGTAGCAACTATAAATGAAATGACTTTTAATGCTGCAAGTAGAAAATTACATAGCCTTTTAAAGAAAGGGTGCTTTTTAAAATTGCTCTTGATGACTCACCATTTCTGTGATAACCGACTAAATGATCAGCTGCATTGGTTGTGTTTATAAAGTCACAAGTACTACAAACTAAACCAGGCACCCAGCAAAATGGAGATAGTACATGCTATTTCCTTTTATTTAAGAAGAAGAAACAAGTCTTATAAAAGTTTCTTCTTGGCTTAATGGACCTGGCCACCCATTAAACTCTGCCTGCTTTCCCCCAAAGTTACAATATAGAATGTAGTGAAACTGACATAATGGTCTTTGTCAACTTAAATGGTGGTTCTTAATGGGCTTCCTGTTTAACATATCTAATTGATGAAGATGTAAAGATGTGTTCATGAGAATCAGATATCCTGATGGATTAAATCAATGGACAGATACTAAGAAGATGAATTATCCCTGGAATAATATGGGGTACTGTGTGTGAGTCCTGATAATCAAGGAGATATGTAGGATTGGATGTGAGAACAGAGTGGGACAGAACTGAACAAGACTTAAGGGCACGAGTTAACAGAAATCTCTCTCTCTTTTTAATGTTTTATTCTTGAGAGAGAGAGAGAGAGAGAGAGCATGAATGGGTGAGGGGCAGAGTGAGAGAGGGACACAGAATCGGAAGCAGGCTCCAGGCTATGAGCTGTCAGCACAGAGCCTAACGCAAGTCTCAAACTCACAAACCATGAGATCAAGACCTGAACTGAAGTCAGACACTTAACCGATTGAGCCACCCAAGCACCCCTGACAGAAATCTCAACAGGGCTGTCAAAAGGAAAACATTGTGACCTATGGGTGTGTGAATAGTAGCATATAGTGCACAGGAAGTCACATAACCTGGCTTAAATTGGACAGTTCTAATTAGGAAGGGTCAGACCATATCTGGAACATTCTGGCCATGTTAATAAAGAGATGGCTTAATTGTGAATTGTGTGGAGGAGGGCATTTGGCGGGGAGGGGTTCAGGGCCTTCCTCTGTGCAGATGGCTTGGAGGAATGGAAGTCATTGATAGCTGTGCACCCACATTTGAAGTTCTGTCCTGGAAGTAGACTCCTACCTGGCTGCTGGGGGAGGACAGATCGGGGTTTCATTAAAGGAGGAATTTTGTGTCCCGGCTTTCACATTTAGAGACTGTGATGCTCCAGGGTGAGTTCTCTTTCATGTAGAAGTTTTCAAAAAGAACTTGGTAGGGGAGCCAGAGAGGGGATTTAAATTGATAGTTGCAACAGATGACTTTGTTTTTTATGGTAAATGTCAATGATTTTATTTTTTAATTTTAGTTTTATTTGAAAATTTTTTTAATATTTTACTTATTTCTGAGAGAGAGAGAGAGGGAGAGAGAGATGGCGTGAGCAGGGGAGGGTCAGAGAGAGAGGGAGATACAGAATCTGAAGCAGGCTCCAGGCTCTGAGCTGGCTGTCAGCACAGAGCCTGACGTGGGGCTTGAAACCCACAAACCGTGAGATCATGATCTGGGCCGAAGTCGGCTGCTTAACTGACTGAGCCACCCAGGCGCCCCTGATTTTATTTTTTAAAATTAATTTTGCAATTAGCACTTTAATCCTCTAGACAAGTATATTATATTTAAGTTAAATGAATGGTAAATACTGTTTATTAAGACCCATGAGGAGTTCATGAGAATATTTTTATTTATTTTTTGTTTTAAAAAAATTTTTGTTTATTTATTATTGAGTCAGAGAGAAACAGAGCACGAGCAGGGGAGGGTCAGAAAGAGAGGGAGACACAGAATCCAAAGCAGGCTCCAGACTCTGAGCTAGCTGTCAGCACAGAGCCCAACTCGGGGGTGAAACTCACCAACCGTGAGATCGTGACCTGAGCCGAAGTTGGCCCCTTGACTGACTGAGCCACCCAGGTACCCCTATTTATTTATGTTTTAAAGTTTGCTTATTTTGAAAGAGAGAGCTTGGGAGTGAGCGGGGGAGGAGTGGAGAAAGAGGGACAGAGAGAATCCCAAGCAGACTACACACTGTCAGAACAGAACCTGACATGGGGCTTGATCCCACGAACTTGAGATCATGACCTGAGCCAAAATCAAGATTTGGACATATAACTGACTGAGTCAACCAGGCACCCCATTTTTTTTTAAGTTGAGAACATTTAATGCATTCATTTATTCATTCATTTGTCAAGCATTTATTGCCTTTCTACATCCATCATTCACTGTGGATATGAAAAGGTGTATAAAAAGATAGAGACATAGCTGTCAAGGAGCTTGTAGTAAAAAGTTTTCTCTAAGTTTACTTGTATTCCTTTTCATTAATTATTAGATCTTGTTTTGTTCTTGGTGAATACTCTTCTAGTTTTTCTCTTTAAATTGCCTTTATTCTCTTGTGTCAAGTTACTCTAACTCCATTTACTATTTTTTATTACAGAGCTTTTAATGTATATTTAAAATTAATTTTAAAATCATTCATTCCTTCCTGTTTTATTTTCATTCATTCATTCATTCATTTATTGAGCAAATAGTCATTCGTCCTTACTCTGTACTGACACTATTTTGGGTTCTGAGCATTCAGTGAACTAGGCTCTAGTTCTAGTGAGGGAAGACAGAAAATAAATAATTCCACAAAAACAGAAATAATTGAAAATTGCAAGGGAAGTACATAGGATTATGGAATAGACTCTGGGGAAGGGGATAATTTGTTTGTTGTCTTCTGGATCTTCTTTTTCTAACTCTGTTGTTGATTTTGGTTACTTCCATTTTTGGAGTAGTCATTCTCACACCTTCTCTCCACCCCAGGAGGGAACATATTGAAGTAGTGGCAGTGGATGTTGTTGGCATGATGCTCATTTCTCTCACAGGCCTTGACATTATCTCAGAAATCTGCCTGCATGTTATATTGTCTCCCAAAGGTTAGGGCATTTGAGGTTTGTGTTATAATATAGCTGTGCCTACAGAAAATTATAACAACTAATTCACCTTTAAATGTCTGATCATTTCCCCTCACTTGGTCAGTTGCTTTCGCAAGATTTAAACCTTGAGCATTTATGACCCCAAAAGGCTCATAGTTTTGGAATGTTTCCCCAAACCGCCGCTGAGATTTAAGCTAGCTGAGTATGGGTGGGAATGTCAGCATATGGATTTTTGAAATAAACGGTGAAGAGTTAAAATTACAAGTCTAACCTGAAGCACTAATGTTAATGCACTGTGTATATTCTCTCATTATGGAGGCTTAGGCAAATATGTCCATCATGGTGGCCTTCAAAAACACAAACCCCTAGAGAAACACTGAAATTTAACAGGTAAGAACTGAATATACCCATGAATGAAACTAACAGTGATTTGTGTTTTTTAAGGTTGCTTATAAGCAGAAGCACGATGCTGCCAAAGGATTCTCAGATTATGCCCACATGAAGGAGCCGCCTGAGATCAAACATGCCATGGAGGTCAATAAACACCAGAGTAATGTAAGGAAGCCATCCTCGCGATTTTCTGGGGAATCGTAGTTCACCACGTGAGGGCTAATGGAGATGTTGTTGAAATTTAATTATTACAGCTCTCTTCTTTGAAAGGGACTTTAAAATTTCTTTCTTTTTTTTTAATCTCTCAGTGTTCAGTCAGAAGTCCTTCTGAATTATTCTATCAAAAGCGTTAAAACCTTGTGGAATGCCTTTAAAATGTCAGGTACTTCCAGATATTAGAGATTGTGCTTTGGACCTGTCAGGTTACTAGCATTTCCTAGAGTGTCCTTGACTTGATGGTGAAGCTCCCATAGTGTCCATTCTAGAATTACAGAAGAACTTGGAGAAAGGGCCCCAGAAATCACTGGTCCAAGAAAGAGTCACAAGTGCTAGTGAGATTCATACCTCCCCACCCCCACTACTGTTTCTTTTGGAATGTATATGAGGAGCAAATTGTTAAACTCAAGACCCATGGAGAACATGAAAGCAGCTGAACAAGCCCACAGAAAATGAAAATGAATTGTTATTTGTGAGAGAGAGAGAGAGAGTGCATGAGTCGGGGAGGGGCAGAGAGAGAAGGGGACAGAATATCCAAAGTGGACTTTGCGCTCATAGCAGTGACCCCCATATGAGGCTCTAACTTGTGAGATGAACTTGGACGCTCAACTGACCCAGCCACCCAGGTGCCCTGAAAATGAATTCTTTCATAAGTTAGCAGATTATAAAGTTGTAAGTTAGCAGGTACATCAAAACTTCCGTATGTTTATTCAGTGACCACCACTATCCTGGTGGCCTAGAAGAATAATTTCATCCTGAAATTTCAGTGGAAGCCTCTTTGCCTCCCTGTTATTAGTTCTTTGCTCTCTAGAAAGAATGTAGGAGCTGTGTTTGGTTCTTTACGGGTTAGAATGGGTTAAGAGAAAGGTGTCTGCCTTAGTTAGGCCAAGAAACTCCCTTTCTTTGGAAAGTATCCGATACATCTTTGTCATTTCACGTGGGCTCTGTCCCACTACTTTGTTCCCTTAGTAAATGGTGCTTTGCTGACTCTGTGTCCCCAGAGCCCCAGCTGTTTAATGTCTCTTTGCAGGTTGGCAACACTTATCTGATATTAAATTGTAATAGGTCAATGCTTAAGTAAAAACTGAGTGAGGTTTTACATTTTAATTCAGATGTGTAAACAGATGTCAATAACCAGATAGTTTTCTAAGATGGCTTAACCTTGATAAGAGATGAGGAAGCTATGTGTCTATAATTACCAGCAAGGCCATTTTAAGGGGGTGCTTCGTGAGAACGGTTTGCTTACAGAATGAGGATCATAATCATAATAACTACCACTTAGCGAGCAGTGCTGCACAGCAGGACCTGTGCCAAGACCCTGATCACTTCCAGGGCTCGCAAAGTCCCTGCCCCGAATCTGATTTTGTAGATGAAGAAAACGAGACCAAAGGGTCCAACTCCCAAGTCCACACTTTCTGTGACGCTCTGCTACCTCCCTCCCTCCCTCTTGAAAGTCACTGGTTACTGGTCAAGATTTTATATGAAGTATTTTTTTTAATATTTTTATTTATTTCTAGGAGAGAGAGAGAGAGACAGCGTGAGCAGGGGAGGGTCAGAGAGAGAGGGAGATACAGACTCTGAAACAGGCTCCAGGGTCTGAGCTGGCAGTCAGCACAGAGCCCGACACGGGGCTCGGACCCACGAACCACGAGATCATGACCTAAGCGAAGGTCGGACGCTTAACCGACTAAGCCACCCAGGCGCCCCTACATGAAGTATTTTTAAATGTGGGGCAAAATAGGTTATCATCAGAATTTAGATCAACAGATTCAAGGCGCTGCGGGAAAGAAGGCGGCGGTGGTGGTCCGGGAGGGGCCGGACCGCATTACACAGACCCTCGGGAAGCCTTTTCCAACTCTATAATTCAATGAAATTCAAATACGGAAGTTCCTTATCATAGGACTGGGGTTATTATTTTAACTGTGCCTTTTCTTTTAAAAGGTCTTTGATTGAGGGATTGAGGGAATAGAGTATAAAGGCCTTTTCTCTTCCATTCAATACTGTGTACTTATGGGAGAAGGGTGTATTGACTTACACTCCTCTGCCTTCTCGGCTCAACCTTTACATGCAAAGTTTGTACATATAATAGGATTTAGAAAGTGTTTAAGACTATTTACTCAGATTTAAAGTGAGAATGATATTTGTATTCTACCTGTGAAGTAGTTGATATTCCCCTAGAGTCAAGGCACGCAGAATAATACATTTGTTGTCCCTACAATATGAAATTTAAACATAGGTCTTGAAAGCCCCAGGAAAGCAGATACCTCTCTTGGCTTGTAGGTGAGGCGGCCGCATCTTCACGGAAGACGAAACCTCGTCTCCCATAAAACTTCGGCCCAGTGAATCTCATCTGCAGAGAACTAACTAATAGAATTACCCTTTCATAATGTGGAGTGTTGCTTTACATTGTGCCCATAAATGATGCGATTTAATTTAAAATAAAGTGTCTGTCACATGTACATCTGATTTACCTAGAAATAATGCGAGGAGGCATCTTTGCTTGCTTTATTATGTTTCTCCCAAAAACAAGTGAGCTTTCCACTATCTGTTACAGAACCAGGAAACGAGAATAGTGGGACTTTAAACCTTGTAATTTCTGCCTTCTTTCAGCTCAGACTTTTATTAGAACATCCATCAATGGGCTTAAGGGTGTGATTTTTCTTTTAGAATCACTGTCTCCCTCAGGCCTTGAAAGGTGAGGACTCCAGTGAGGGTCATCTGAATTCTCACCTCTGCATAACTGAGGGTTTCGAGAGACAGACTATTCGAGGTGTGCTAGTCTCTTTTGTCACCCCCAAATTGATTGATCATGGAACTGGGGAGGGGGAGCAATCTATCTGAATAGCCCCCACTGTAGCACATAGTAGAAAAGGAATTTGGAGTCAGACCACATGTTGCCTGGATGACCTTGGGCAGGTTACTTAATATCTCCAAATCTCAGCATTCCCATCTGTAAAATGAAGCAGTGATCATCTACCTCACTGGGCTCTCACGAGTGTTAAATGAGATGGTATATGTGAAGGACTGTGCAGAAGAGCTTCTCCATAAAATAGGAGTCATCCTTGGTCCTCCTCCAATTTTCAAGGGTGATTTGAGAGGTTAGGATGATTTCATCGTCAATTGGAAATAATTAGAAGAGCTTAAATTTTGAAAAGAGCCAACTCAATATGAAATTTATATTAAGAAGCATTAAGGTCAGAAGGGCATGTTCAAAATGTTTCTGAACCCATATAACTACCTATTTTGTTGATACTAAAGTCAAGAAATTATTAAAACCAGCCAATCTAAAGCCTTTCATATCTTAAGGGATGTACCTCTGCCAAATTCTTCTAATGTAATTAGAGGAACTGGAGATAATCTATCCTGTTACTTTCCCCTAAAGATGGGGTCGAAATGAAAACATTATTAGTTCCCATCAATCTTATCAGAGACATGAAACCCAATAGTTCTGAGGGAAGTCAAACAAATTTGGAACTGCCATCTTTGGTTTCGCAAGTAATGTGGTCTGTATAGACTTGGGATGAAATTGGAGGGATAAACTTTTCTAAAACACCATATTGGTAATCAGTTCAATGCATATTAGAAGGAAGTATTCAGCAGGGGAAACAAGAGACTTAATGTTTTTTTCAAGCATGATATATATACTTCCTTGATGGCAATGAAAACTTATCAGGAGATACAATTTCTTTTCCATCAGAAAGTGGAAAAGCTCAGCGATAAATCAGTAAAATGATACTGGAAAAACGTTCATGGTTCCATGTGATTGGCTGACGTGACTTACAATAACAGCACTTTAGGACTTAGTATTAAAATAGGCACATTAGTATTTTGTTCATCCCTAAGAGTAGTTAGTAATAGCCATTCTGCCTTGTATGCAAGATTACGGTGGTGGTAAAATTAACTCATGAGTAAAAAATGTCCATCAACTCGAAAAAGATTTTTGTAGACAAGACAATAATAAAGATGACGAAGATAGAGCTCCGTATTTTCCTCCATCTTTTAGGAGACTGAAAACTTTCCTGCCTTCTTATGAATATCAGATCCTGCATAAACTTGTATATAAATGGTTTACATTCTCTCAAAAAATCATATTTGCAATGTAAGATTTTACTAGTGTTTTACATACAGCGTGCCCAGACAGAAATAAGGCTAGATGGAATTTCCAGTCCATGTGCCTATTGGATGACCCCTGGGAGCTGTTCTCATGTGAGAGTTTTTGATGAGTTAAATAAAAGTATTTCTTGAGAATGACTTGGCCAGTGCCTTAAGATATAACTAAATACAGGCCACACGACTCACTTCTGCTCCACAAACTTAAAAGAGGCACATCCAGGGGCGCTTGGGTGGCTTAGTTGGTTAAGCGTCCGACTTTCGCTTAGGTCATGATCTCTCGGTTCGTGGGTTCGAGCCCCGCGTCGGGCTCTGTGCTGACTGCCAGCTCAGAGCCTGGAGCCTGTTTCAGTCTATGACTTCCTCTCTCTCTGACCCTCCCCTGCTCACGCTGTCTCTCTCTCTCTCCTAGAAATAAATAAAAAAAAAAAAATAAAAAAAAAAAAAAGAGGTACATCCTGTCTGGTCTCTTCTCAGAATCATGTTACCCTTCGCCAGAGTAGCAAAGGGAGTGAATGGTTCTGGGCCAGTTGGATTTGATTTCTTTAAGTCTGCTCACCGGCCCTCACCTCTCAATCTTAGCATCTCCAGCTACCGAAATCGGAGTCTCTTACTGGCCAAGCCTGACCCAGAACAATACAAGAAGGGGTTCTGGAGAGCTAGTTCCAGTCTTGGAAGGGAGTATTGACGATGCCTGGTTGGGAACAGCCAACCCAGCACAATAAGGATGGATGATGATTTAATGCCTCAGTGCACGTAAAGTGTTAAGAACAAGGCTTGGCATGTTGGACCCTCTGCACAAGTGTTTAAAAAAAGCCAAACATGTTAAAGAGGTAGATTACAAGGAACAAGCTGAGCTTAAAAGACAGTAAAATGCTGAAAGTACAAGTGGAGGGGCGAAGTGAACGTGGCGAGATAAATTCAAAAACAAATTTTGACGGAATTAATATCTTTATTGGAGGCAACGAAGAACAGATTTGACACTGCAGAAAACCATGAAGTGGAGATTGTTATTCGGGATTTTCTAGATTTAGCACCAGAACTCCATCTCAAGTTAGCTAAGGAAAATATGAGAGGTTATTGGTTTACATAATTAGAAATTTAAACTACTTCAAGTGTAACTGCATCCAGAGGCTCACAGCGTCCCTGGGACTCTTCCTCTCAACCCATCTCGTGGCTTTGCTTTCGGATGGACTCTCTCTGGGTGGTCTCAAGATGACAGCTGGTGTTCCCAAAATCAAGTCATTCTCACAGCAACTGATCCCACAGAGAAAGACGGCAGCTCTTTCTCCCTCAGCCTCAGATGCACCAGTGATCCTGGCCCTCCCTGGGTTACGTGTCTGCACTCTTATTGATCGTGGTTTCCAAGGGGCTGGGGTATCTGATTGGACAAACTGTCAGGTGGCTATTTCTGTCATCAGGAGGGTAGGCTGCATTGGACAGCCCCACCACATCACACGGAGTGAGGGAGAGGCAGTTGCCAAATGAAAAATCCCAGGTGGATAAAAAATAAAATATAAATGTCCATTACAAAGGAAAATGACCCAGATACATGGGAAAGGGCAAGGAAATAAATTTAGTGGGAAAAAAAGGAGGAAGGGATCAAGCAGGTATAGTAATAATTCTAGGGGTCCCTGAGGAAGACATCACGGCCACTCTTTACAGATATTATTAAAAAGGTAAAGTTTATCTTGGATACAGGATCAATGTATAAGAAAATGGTCATCATATGAGAATTCCTTTATTACCTTGTGTGGGATCTGTGGAAGGAAACGATCAAACTTCACTGAAAGTTCTAATAGAAGATTGAAAGAAGCAGGAAAATAACATCTTCTCCTGGGAATAGGCTCTAATACTGTTGAGATATTTTTCTCCCTAAATCATTTTGTAGGTTGAGTGCAATGTCCACCAACGTTTCGTTGGCTTCCTGTATGGAGTTTACTAGAATCATTCTAATGTTCATTAATGAGAATAAATAGTTAAAATTAAGGAGACTTTGGAGATAGAAGAGTAGTCGATGGAACTGGGTGTAATGGATAGAAATCCTTATAGTCGTGTGTTCAAGAAATGTGTGAGTGAGGCAGTGACTGGTAAGTCCTTCCTGTGCTACCTGGTCCATGATGAATGGTCTAAAATGGAGATTATTATTAGTGTTATTATTTTTCTTCCTCTTCCTTCTCCTTCTCTTCTCTCTTCTGTTTTCCTCCCTCCTGCTTTTTGCTCCTCTCCTATGCTCTGGGGATGCAGTAGGGAACAAACCATTAAACAAAACAACGTAAAATCCATAGCTGGCCTTCAAGTTTGCACACATCTTGGGCTGATGATTTTCAGGAGCCCCCGACTTTCTTCTTCTTCAACAGTATTCTATAGAACCCCGTCTTGCCATGAGAAGAGGCCGGGCAGTCCACTGTTCCCATACAGTTAGCGCTTAGGGTTTGAGTTTATTCCGGAAATAGAGAAAACACCATATATATTCTTTGACCTTCCCCTGCCAGACCTCTCTTCTGCCACGTCTCGGTTTTATTCTTCCTGGGTGCTGACAGACTGCAGAACGGAGCAAAGACGTATGGCAGACCTTTGAGAAATGTCAGGCGGGACCCCCTGGGGCCGGGCAGAGGGTTGGGAGGAGGAAGATGGGCGGTCCCCTCAGGAAGCCATGTTGTCACACCACCAAGTTCAGCCATCGTTGCTCAGAGTGCAAGCCAGGAGCTGGCTGCCCTGTGCGCCCCCCCCCCCCCCATACAGCCCCGCTCCCACAGGGTAGCCCCACGCCGTGATGTTCTGGAAGATCTGACTAGTGACCAGGCTTCCACGCTGCTCTCCTATGTGGCTCCGTGGCGTCCGCTTGTTTGAATTCGCAGCTCTTGTCAATCTTAATATTTGTTTTGAGTCACATATGCCGGCCTCTAATTTGCAATTTCCATGGATGATGGGGCCCTATTCAGAGCTCTGCTCCTGCTGCCTTTGTGCCCCTCACCTCTCTTCACGCAGCCATTAGGCTGAGCAGCATATAATTACATAACCCATGCAAAGCTTAGATTTCTGGAAGGTTGCAGCTCTTTTCAAAAAGTAAGGGTTTCCATTTTTATCCGCATTCTTTTCTAAACAAAAAGACATCCCCCCCTGTGGTTTTCGTATGAATGCAGTAACTTAGGAACAGTTAGTCTCGTAGGTGGGTAGTAATTTCGGTTTGTTTTCACCTGAGAGTCGGTTTTTGTTTACACAGCTTGTGTTTAACCGAGTGCAGGCCGAGGGCGATTGGCCATCCTTGGTGCAGGAGCATGTTGCTATTGGAAGCCAATGAAATTGGCTTCATTCTGAATCCCTACAGATTTAAAATTCACCCAAAAATGTAACTCAGGTTTCAGCTCATTTTCATGTTTCTTTTGCTACCCATGGGCACACAACCTACCTGAATTACATGTGAAGATAAAGCCTATGAAAACAGAAATACTGGAGAAAACAGATGTTCTTGCTGAAATTATGCTAATTCTATTGAAGTTGTGTTTACTTGGTAGACAGACTCATGATTATAAACACAGTTTACAAAAACTAGTCTTAGTGGTGAGGCAAAAGCAAGCCCTTAAAAGAATAAATAGAAATGTATATAAACATTTCACTGAAATGAAATAATATAATGTGTAGGGAGCCTATCAATGTATTATTGCATTTTCATTTCTTATACCTGATAATTATTTTTGAAGGAAGCAGTGCAAATGGTTTTTAACACTACAAGACTGAAAAGAAAATAACAAGATATATTGATATTATCGAGAACACTGGCTTATATCGATCAACAGGGAATTCATTAGAATGCAGAGTCTTGAGCCCCATTTACCGAAATTGTGTTATGTAGGGCTGGGGAGGACCTCAGGAATACAGTTTTTGAATAAGTACCTTAGATGATGCTATTGTAAAAAGTTTGCAGGCAACATTAGAAATATTTGCCTTGTACAAATGTAATTAATTGTGCATTTTGTATAGATATTCAGTTGTAAGTTTCTGTGTCCTATCTTTCTAGGCCTTGAAAAAATGAAGGCGGGTCTTAGAAATGACCATTGCTGCACTCTTTGCATTAGAACTTGAATAGCACTAGTGGACAGATTGGTGAGGTGTTGACCAGTAGAACATTTTACCAGTTTTGATCTGGTGTCTCTTCCTGTTTGTCAGTCGAATTAAAATCTGAATAACCACCATCCTCTAAAGTGGGTTTGGTAAAATTTACATATATTCTTCTATTTAAATGTCTATTTTCCACACTTCAGTTTGGTTGTATCTCATCTACATTCAGAGAATGAATGTTCCTTAATGTAACTGCTTTTATTTTTTGGAATCTTTGTGATGGTCGTCGGTAGATGATAAAACCATCAGTACCCATGACTAGTCTTCCCACACGTGGGCCTTTTAAGAGTCTGGATGGAAAAGGAAGAGAAAGCCAGAGAGGAACAGCTTCACACTTCCCCACCCCAGGAAATGATTTTCTACTTTGATGGGTTGGGCTTAGCCTGTGTCCACTGGGGGTCAAGACAGTGTGATGGGCAAGTTAAAGCCCCGACACACTTACACACGATGACATGCTTATCAGGGTGGTCTGTGTAAAATCCTGTAAGACTGGTTTTGTACCAATATCTTGGGCTCACATTTGTTATGTTATAAGAGTCCAGTTCATACGCAATAATGCTAGTGAGACTTAGGTATAGTAGAAAAAAGAATATCTACTCAAATAAATGTTGTGTTTAAAAACACTTGAAAAAAGTTTATGGTCAGTGGGTTCTCTAAGACGATTTATTTATTTAGCCCAGCTAAATGATTTTATAGACATTAAGTTTGGTAGTTACATAAACTTCTAATTTCTTTTTCTTTCTTTCAATCAAAACTGTCTCTCGGATCAGATTTTTTACAGAAAAGATGTGCAGGACACCCATATGTATAGTGCGGATCTCAACAGACCAGACATCAAGAAGGCAACAGAGATCTCCAAGATCATAAGCAATGTAATTTCTCTTTCTTATCTTGGGCAGAAATGATTTCTTATTTTTGCAAGAGACAGCCTGTGGCTTTGGTAGTTGAATGGTTAATTTAATTGGTGAAAATAATCTGAATTAGTGACACCTCATTTTTTTTGAAATCTGAATTATCCACCTGACTACATAGGCTATTCCGGTATATGCAGAAAGTGCTCAAAGTTGCCTTGACTGTGGCCACTGCTGCCATACTTTTAGAGAAGTAAGTGCCATGTGAGCCTAAGGTAACATTCAGATGCCTCAGCCTGAAAGTCAGCTTTGTCAGTCATGGTCCAATATTCTCTCTCGCCTTACCTTGTCCCAAAGAATATCACTTGGCCTTATTCCCATCATGTTGCTGTTAATTGTACAGATACTTTTTGGCCACCATTTGCCCTTGTACATTTTCTACACATCGTGGCTATTTTCTTATCTTCTCCAAGATATCCTTCTTGGTTAATACCATTTAACTTAAACGTACCTTTGGACCTTGGTTAAAAATGATGACCTAACCCAAACCAAATATCTGGCTAATGTAGACTATACTCACCTTCCAAGTCAGTAACTATTTACTAAATTTAACTTCACATTAACCAAATAGGGTTAGATTAGCTCCTAAGATCAAGCGAGCCATGCAAGCTATCTGCATGCAGAATTTGGGATCTCAATTATCCAGAAATTGCTTCTAATTTTTTTTCAGTGTTTATATAGAAACTCAACGATGATAATGATGTCAGAGTACAAAGATTCAAACTAGATAATTATATTATATATTAGGTAATTATTATAAACTATTATAAACTATGTAATTATTCTATCATATTATACTACAAAAGGTTTGAGTTTATTTAAATAACCATACTAAGTCCATTTTCCTCCCTAGCAGTCAGCTTTTTAGCATTTGGTGGATTGTAAGGCATGTTTTATTGTGGACTGACCATCTATAATATTTTATTTCAGCTAATGTTAATGTAATTCTTCATTGGAAAGTAGAAATATTTAACATTCTCATATTTATGCATTTTAGGCTGAATACAAGAAAGGACAAGGAGTAATGAATAAGGAGCCTGCTGTAATTGGAAGGCCAGATTTCGAACATGCTGTGGAAGCTTCTAAACTTTCTAGTCAAGTAAGACTCTAGTGATGATTCCACAATGATTTTATTCAGAGATTTTGTTTCCAATGGCACAGAAAAATATTTCATCTTAGGTGATATCTTTAATTGCAAGAGTACGCAAAGATAAGGTTTCTGAAACCCTTTCAGATAGGATTGCAATAATTATAAACTTCACGAAGGGATAAAAATACGTCCAATTTTAAGTGTAAGACAAAGGTTTCTTTTCTCCTGCTTCAAATTCTAACCCTTTTTAATGAGGTTGGCCATGTTGTCACATTTCCTAGGATTTCAAGAATTCAGCAATCCTGATATCAGTTAGATTAGATTACACCAATAATTAGATTGCTATCTATCTATACACACATACACACACTTTTTAACTTAGTAATAAAATATCCATTTCAAATGCTTTCGTTTAATCACAAGATAAGAGAGAGGTGATCCAAATGAAGGAAACTTTGAAATCTTATTGGGAAGCATCAACGAAGACCTGCAAAAGTATAAAGACAGGTCATGTTTTCGGCTGAAAGTCTCGGTAGATAAAAACTGCAATTCTCCCCCAAATTAATATATAAATGTCAGGCAATTTCAATTGCACGGCAATAGAATTTTTTTAAAAGTATGGATAAATGATCCTCGAGTTTGAATGGAAAGGAAATGCCTGAGAATAGCCTTTAAAAGTATGAAAGTCAAGACCAGTGAAGAACTTAAGTTACGAGTTACCATAACATAATATAAAACCACTGAAATTAAGTCAATATGGGATTAGTACAGCAAGAGATAAAATGATCAGTAAGCTAAGCATAGAGAATCCTGAAATAGGTTCCAATATGTATAAGAATTTAATATACGACGAAAGTGTTGGTCCAAGCCAGTGGGAAGAAGTTGTATTAGTTCATAAATGGTGCTGACATAACTGTCCATCCATCCGAGTAGCAATAAAATTGGTCCTGAATCTTCAACTACGTACAAAATGAATTCCAGATGGATTAGAGATGGGAATGTAAACAATAAAATGATTTTTAAAGTCTTAAAGGAAAACCCAGGAGACTATACATGCCACGTAGAGATAACAGAGTTGTTCTTAGATGACACCAGAGATCCGGAAGCTATAAAAGGAGAGTTAGGCATATTTGACTATCGAATTAAAATTTTTTTTCAATGGAAAACGATAATATTTGCCAGGTCAACAGTAGCATCAAAAGCAATTTTTACACGTTTATGGTGTTTTCAACTTCGAAAATACCCATTCCTCAAGTTGCGAAGTTGGGTTACATTTGAAAATGGAGAGGTATAAGTGAGGAAAACTATGAAATCAGGCAGAAAAACATGAAATGACGTTTGCCCCAGTGAGAAGACCTATTGTGCTCTCGCTCCGGTGTCTCAATACTCAATATCATAAAAATGTTAATTCTCTCAACATTAATTTTAAAAACTCCATTCAGGGGGTGCCTGACTGGCTCAGCTGGTGGAAAATGCGACTCTGGATCTCAGGGTCATGAGTTGGAGCCGCATGTTGTGGGCAGAGTTTCTTTTAAAACATAAGTTAAATTTGGGGCACTGGGGTGGCTCAGTTGGTTAAACGTCCAACTTTGGCTCAGGTCATGATCTCACAGAGTTCAAGCCCCACATAAGGCTCTGTGCTGACAGATCAGAGCCTGGAGCCTGCCTTGGATTCTGTGTCTCCCTCTCTCTCTCTGCCCCTCTGCTGCTCATGCTCTGTCCCTTTCTCTCAAAAATAAATAAACATTTAAAAAAATTAAAAATAAATAAAAATTTCTTAAAAAAATTTCTGTGCAATTCTAGCTAGAATTCAAACAGATTTTTTAAAAAACATTTTTAATAAAATTAAATATTTGAATAAATTAAATAAGTTAAGGGCACCTGAGTGGCTCAATAGGTTAAGCATTTGACTCTTGATTTCAGCTCAGGTCATGATCTCATGGTTTGTGGGTTCAAGCCCTGAGTCGGAGCTGTCAGGGCAGAGCCTGCTTGGGATTCTCTCTCTCTCTCTGTCTCTCTGCCTCTCTTGCACTCTCTCTCTCAAAATAAATAAATACACTTAAAAAACTTAAATAAATTAGATGGTCTATAGAGAAGGAAAGGTCTGAGAAAAACCGTTTTTAATCTTAATTTTTATTTATTTTTTAAAATTCATTAAAAACTTTTTTTACATTTTATTTTAGAGAGAGAGAGAGAGCACGAACAGGTGAGATAGGCAGAGAGAGAGGGAGAGAGAATCTTAAGCAGGCTCCATGCCCAGCACTGAGCCCAATAAGGGGCTTGATCCCATGACTCTGGGATCATGACCTGAGCCAAAATCAAGAGTCAGACATTCAACAGACTGAGCCGCCTATGTGCTCCTAGTTTGATATTTCAAATTCAGTCACCAGAAATCCTACCATTTGGTCCTACCTGGGTTTTTAGGCAGGTTAAAAAAAAATTTCAAATCTTTTAGCAACTACACAATCAGATACCTAAGCAGATTGTAATTTGCAAGTTACATCTTCATTTCCTCCATGACATTCGTGCTGCTCTCATAGTGCTTAAACTCATGAGGAAAAGGGAAACTGGGCAGATGAATACATAGGACTTCTAGAATGAACTCGACATGATCCGTTTGTATTTTCAGGCATATTAACTAGAGTCGCAGGCAGAAAGTGTGGTTTCTTATTTTCACTATTTGAAGATCACATATTGTCTTGCTCCTAACCTAATGACAGATTGTGGATACAGGAGCACCCAAAGGCAAAGAAATGCCTAGAAGGGAAGTGACTTGGGAATGCAACAAGCAGAGGACCTGGGGACAGGTGCAGGAAGGAGTGAGCAGATGGCACCAGGAGCACTGAGTGAGGAGAAGGCAGAGGGGAGGCGGTGCTCACAGCGTGTAGTGGGAAGACCTGCCTGATGAAGGGATGAGAACGAGAGAGCAAGGGGCAGAGTTCTCCCAAGTCACCAGTATATGGAGCTCTGTGGGATGGAGCCCGGGAAAGGTGATGGAAACCCAGAACCCTTCGTGTTAACTTGTACAACAGCTTTGCTTCCATGGTTGTCAAAGTTTCCTTTTTAAATTTAGAAGACATGTAAAATGATGTTTAAGTAAGTAAGAGAAAATCACTAAAAAAAAAAAAAAAAAAATTAAAGTGTCACGTCACGTGCCGAGATAAAGAGATTTGTGTTATTTCCGGGTATCTCAAATGTTGGTAGAGTAAACTGTTGAAGCCATCATCTTACAAAATTCTTTTCTTTTTTAATATTTTTAAAGTTTATTTATTTATTTATTTTGCAGGCGAGTGAGAGAGAGAGAGAGAAGGAGAAGGAGTGAAAGAGGGGCAGAGAGAGAGAGGGACAGAGGATCCAAATTGGGCTCCAGCACAGAGCCCAATGTGGGGCTGAAACTCACAAACTGTGAGATCATGATCTGAGCTGAAGTCGGACGCTTAACAGACTGAGCCATCCATGTGCCCCCTTTTTTTGAAAATATTTTTTAAAGTTTATTTATTTATTTTGAAAGAGAGAGGGGGAGACAAAATCCTTCTTAAGTGCAGCTGATTTGTTAAGATATTCGTATTTATTACTGGAAATTTGTCTACGTGGCGAATGGAATTCTTTTAGTTTTATAATATCAGGGAAAGCTTTTATATTTATAATAACTAGTGTTTGTTCTAAAATTGCACGGGATGTATTGATGAGAATGGGTTTGAAACATAAAAAGTACATTTTAGATTGCCGTTAAAATTTAATTGTAAATATTGTCCTCAAATTGTATGGGGATGTTAATTGGTTTGGAGAATCTCCCATTCTCTCTTCCTGGCAAACCCTCCCAACCAACTTCTTTACCCTGAAGTTTTGGCTTCAATGTCGCATTCTTGACTTGCCAATTTAAATTGTATTGCTCTCTCACCTTTATTCTCAGTTCTTGTTCTTTATAGCTCTTAGCACAATTTGTGTTCGTGTATGTGTGTGTGTGTGTGTGTGTGTGTGTGTGTGTGTGTATGTGTGTGTGTGTGTTAAATATCTCCTTTACTACCTTACAACAGGCTTCATGGGGACAGGGGTGACATGTGTTTAATTCATCATTACAGAATCGCACAATTGGGCTTCAATAAATATATATAGTGTGATTAAACAAATTTCTCTAGATCATTCACAGTCGGTACAAAGTCAGTGAGGTGTTATTTTGTTATGAAAATAAGGACAGGGATATGATTTTGTGTAAAATTCATACTTGAAAATCTTATTGACTTTATGGCAAGTTCTACATAAGAATCTGGATATACTGTCTTTCTTGACAGCTTTTAGTCTAAATTCATCCAAAATTGGAGGGAATTGGTGCTTATAGGTATATGGCATTGTGTTGTTTACTCTTCATTTTCACTGATAATTAAGGTATACTTATCAAATTTTCCATTTTCCCCTAACATTTGTTTCTGTGGCAATGATGAAAAGCTTTCATTTGGGGTCTGCTTTTTCCTTCTTTTCTCCAACTCGGACTCTGATCCATAAGGTGAGGCTGAAGTCCAGCGCCCCTCGTGGTGAAGCTTTGAACTACTGGCTTTAGGAGTCAGGCTCAGGCCTCAGGCCATTGAAAGAAACACTGCTTTGTCCAGATGCAGTTATGAGGAATGATTTTAAGTTATATTATTGTAGTTTAACAATTCCACTGTTTTCCCCAAGTGTGGGTCTATGGAAATCTTGCCAAGTCTTAAGATTCCTCATAAACTTTTAGGAGTACGATCCTATATGCCTTTCTTATACTAAAAGGGAACGTTGGTAAACATCAGGATCATTAGATACGTTGGTATTCATAATGCAAATAAAATCAGTCATGAGCATAAGTAACTCTTCATTTGTTTCCAAAGTGATTGACTTAGGTGTAAGGGATACATTAGGAGCAAACTCACCCAACCCAACACCCATTTCTCCCTTTCTCAAGTGGTCATGAAACTGGAGGGAGATATTTTGTTCCATGGTCGGGTCACCAGTTAGTCAAGGGAAAGCCTTATCTCAGG